CAGAGGGAGAAGCAGACTCCCTGCTGAGCAGGGAGCCCGATGCGGGACTCGATCCAGGGACTCCAGGATCATGACCTGAGCCGAAGGCAGCCGCTTAACCAACTGAGCCACCCAGGCGCCCAATATTTGGGTTTCTAAAGGAAGTAACTTCACTTTTGTTATCTTCCAACAGTTAAAAGTGGGAGAAGTAAAGACTAAATTAGTAGAGTAAAATTGAATATATTGGACTTCAAAATAAAGATTGAAAAGAAATATACAGGGACACCTGAGTGGCTCAGTCAGTTAAGCGTCCAACTCTTGGTTTCGGCTTAGTCATGATCTCAGGGTTGTGAGACCGAGCTCTGCATCAGGCTCCACTCTCAGTGAGGAGTCTGCTTGAGATTCTGTCTCCCTCTCCCTCTGCCCCTCCTGCTTGTGCTCTCTCACTCTCTCTCTCTCTCAAATAAATAAATCTTAAAAAAAAAAAAAGAAATATACAGTCTGAACATATCTCACACAGCTCTGTCTGTGGTGGATGTCTTGAAAATAATTCATTTAGATTCATCTAGAAGAGTTATTCATTCACAACTAATAATGAGAAAAAGAAAAAATCTCATTTTTCACTTGAATAGAAGGTTCTTTTAGTCCATGACAATTCCATCTTTTTCAATTCAATTTTTCACTTTAAAAATACTCTAAAGCCTAAAAGGAGTCATCATATGCATCATTTATAACCTTAACTTGCTTTGTGGATCAGTAGGCTGAGTGGTTTAATTGGGATAAATGGAGCAAGTAAAAGACCAATGAACCAGTGTGAAATTTTCTTGTATGAGTCAAGAGAGGTTCCTTGTTAATTTACAGTCGTCCAACACTATTAAGAGCTGCTTCAAAAGGTTATTTTTTAGTTTCTTGAATGATTAATATAATCTGTTAAAATATAAAAAAGAAAGTAAGCATTTCCTAAACATCTTGGTCCCAAATCTATTATAAACTGAAATGGTCCAACATAATCTCCCTGGCACAGTACACTCTTTAGAACCATAACTACTAAAATAAGAGCAAACTGAGATACAGAAGATCTCAATTTTAGAGTTAAACAGGCAGTTGGCCTTAGGCAAGCCACTTACCTCTGTGTGTCCCAGTTTCCTCCATCTGTGGGCAAGCGAGTTGTGTGAATAGCAATGTCCAGATTAGACACAACCAGAAATAAATACTAAGGAGAAATAGGAGTTTTAAAATATTAGATATTTTTGTTCTCTTCTGTATATCTGAATATATATTTTTTGACATGATCCAGGTTAAATCTCATCTTTTTTTTGAAAACTAGCTAGGCTCTTGCCACTCTTATGACTTTACATTCTATAACTTTTTTAATGCGCAAAATACCATACAATTGTTTATGATCTTATGATACTGTCTTTTATGGTTCCCTGTTTCCTTAGTTAAAATTTGACCCCCCCATCTTGACTGTAAGTACTTTGAGAATAAAGACTATCATGTAATAGACATACCATACATAGTATTGATTAAATTTGTCCTTCTACAGAAAAATCATAATTGCGAATGGAATGTGTTTAAAAGTTTGTTCATTACGAAAATCTGTTGTACCACATCTTTATTTCAGAATTATTGATTTCTAAGTAAATGTTCCTCATTAAAAATAAAATGTGGGCGCCTGGGTGGCTCAGTTGGTTAAGCG